GTGATGTCTGCCAAGTTTCGAGAAAATCGGTCCAGATTTAGATATAGCTCCCATATATAATTTCGTCCGATTTCATGTAAATGGTGCCCCAAAGTCCCTATATATCTTTCGATTTGCACGAAATTTGGCATAACGTACGGAATTAAGCCTTGAATGACGTCTGCAAAGTTTCGTGAAAATCGGTCCAGATTAAGATATAGCTCCCATATATAGTTTCGTCCGATTTCATGTAAATGGTGCACCAAAGTCCCTATATATGATTCGATTTGCACGAAATTCGGTACAGCGTAATGAATTAGGCCTATAATGATGTGTGCTGAGTTTCAAGAAAATCGGTTCAGATTTAGATATAGCTCCCACATATAGTTTCGTCCGATTTAATGTAAATGGTGCACCGAAGTCCCTATATATCTTTCGATTTGAACGAAATTTTGCACAGCGTACTGAATTAGGTCTAGAATGATGTGTGTTAAGTTTCTCGAAAATCGGTTCAGATTTAGATATAGCTCCCATATATATTTTCGTCCGATTTAAGGTAAATGGTGCACTAAAGTCCCTACATATCTTTCGATTTGCACGAAATTTGGCATAGTGCACTGAATGAAGTCTAGAATGATGTGTGTTAAGTCTCCTGAAAATCGGTTCAGATTTAGATATAGCTCCCATATATATGTTCGCCCGATTTAATGTAAATGGTATACCAAATTCCCTAAATATCCTTCCATTTGCCGGAATTCGGCACAGCGTACTAAACTGGGTCTAGAATGATGTGTGTAAAATTTCTTGAAAATCAGTTCAGATTTAGATATAGCTCCCATATATAGTTTCGTCCGATTTCATGTAAATGGTACATCAAAGTCGCTATATATCCTTCGATTTGCACGAAATTTGGCATAACGTACTGAATTGAGTCTAGAATGATGTCTGCCAAGTTTCGAGAAAATCGGTCCAGATTTCGATATAGCTTCCATATATAGTTTCGTCCGATTTCATGTAAATGATGCACCAAAGTCGCTATATATTTTTCGATTTGCACGAAATTTGGCATAACGTACTGAATTGAGCCTAGAGTGATGTCTGGCTTTTTTCGTGAAAATCGGTCCAGATTTAGATATAGCTCCCATTTATAGTTTCGTCCAAGTTAATGTCAATGGTGCAATAAAGTCGCTAAATATCCTTCTATTTGAACGAAATTTGGCATAACGTACTGAATTGAGTCTAGAATGATGTCTGCCAAGTTTCGAGAAAACCGGTCCAGATTTCTATATAGCTCCCATATATAGTTTCGTCCGATTTCATGTAAATGGTACATCAAAGTCGCTATATATCCTTCGATTTGCACGAAATTTGGCATAACGTACTGAATTGAGTCTAGAATGATGTCTGCCAAGTTTCGAGAAAACCGGTCCAGATTTCTATATAGCTCCCATATATAGTTTCGTCCGATTTCATGTAAATGGTTCACCAAAGTCTCTATATATCTTTCGATTTGCACGAAATTTGGCATAACGTACTGAAAATCGGTCCAGATTTAGATATAGCTCCCTTTTATTATAGATTGATTATAAGTAATTGACGCACCAAGGATCCAATAGGCTGATAGGAACAAAACGTTCTGAAATTAGTATAATCTAACCTGTGACAAGTTTGTTTGAAATCGCTTAATATTTGGATAGAGCTTCCATATATATTTTCGCCCGTAAATTGGGCATCAAACTCCTCATGTTAGTCAGATTGACATCAAAGTTTGCACAACGTACAAAATTGAGCATAAAATTACGTAGTTGCGTTTTCTAGAAGTACAGACATAGCCCAACGGATGACCTATTTATATTTGTTTGAAGTCGATTTACATACTTTATGGATAGATCTAGGTATATTCATATTTAGATAAATATCACATATCTTATTTCATCCAATTTCATGTTAATAGTCCTGTTTAATATACCCATAGTGGTGAAGGGTATCATATAGTCGGCCCCGTCCGACTTTACTACTTTCCTTACTGGTTTTATTATGTTTTATGAACGGAGAGCCTCAATGAAGAAAAGTTTCCAAACGGAATTAGCATAAAATAAGTAAAAAAAGTTTCAGTAGGTGTTGCCGACATATATATACCCTTAGCCTATGGTTTAGGGAGATCATCGGAGTTACACACAGGTTTTATATAAGGTATATGTTTTGAACATTATATAAGGTATATGTTTTTATCAAAGAGGTTTCGGATTTAATATTGATCAAATCGGGGTTTCAATTCTCTTCAAATACAATTTTTGAGTTTATATAACATTGAACCTTTTTGGGGGAGATACCAGACGAAGTGGACCAATGGGTCTCATCTTCGGACTTGGCTTGGTAAAGTTATGGTTGTGCAAAGTTAGGTTCAAATCGGATATTCCGTTCGCATGATATTATAAAATTAATTTTTAACACAATTTTTACCACTATGTGGGGGAGGTACCAGAAGGAGTGGAACAATGGGTCCCATCTTCGAATTTGAACTAATTTCTTTAGAAATATGATGTGCAAAGTTTGGATGCAATCGGATATTCCCTTCGAGAGTTGACGTGCGCACCAGCCAGTCAGACCATTTTGCGGGGATGTACCAGAAGGATGGACCAATTTTCCACATCTTCGAACTTCTACTAAGTTTGGTAGAAATATGATGTGCACAGTTTGGATGAAATCTGATACTCTCTTCGAGAGTTATCGTGCACACCAGATCTTTATCAAAACAGGCATGCTTATTCTTTGGTCCCTTCTTTATGTACAATTTCGCGATGTGCGACCAGAAAAAACGAAAAAAATACATATTTAGTCGTTTTCATCCCCTAAATCTTGGCCAGAACCAATCCTATATGCAAAATTTCGTGAAGATTGGTCTAAAACAATGTTTACAAATTATAATGGACAGATGGATGGACGGGCACACATGTCTAGATAGACTCAGCCAATCGATATTGACGATCGGTATACTTAACTCTTGGGGTTGCACTACGCTATAATATCCGATAAAAATTACTACAGGAAAAAAACAAAAATATTATATTAAAAACGTGTAACTTCAAATACATGTATTTGAAGACTTAACAGCCCTACCTAAAATTCAGCTAGCTCGTTCGACGTTTTTCACCACAAAAGTAGAACGCATGTATTTATATGAATGTTACCGAAATATGTCGAGCGTACAAAATTTCAAGCTGAACAATTTCAACTTTGACAGAACGTGTTTTTTATTTTATTCTTTTGTTGAAAATAAAAACAAAAGATTCAGAAAAAACGAAATTTCGAATGTAAACATAAAATATTTGGATTAATTTAATAAATTTTCAATTTTGTTTTGCGGCTTGTATTATTCGCTTGAATATACATATGTATTCGACGTATTTGGGTAATACGGCCGTACACAACATTTTCCAAAAGTGGGGAAGTTGAATTTTTCTGTGCGCCCCTCTTTTCGACGGCGGGCTTGATTGCCGATCACTGGAACATACAAATCTCAAAACGCAAGTAGGAAGTTTACAATGGGGCTGCGGTAAGAACTAAGATTATTAACATCGCTACAAAATTTACTAAATGGTGGACCTGAGAAAATTATTTTTTTGGAAAATCGCAAATTTTCGACCACAGGAAAATAGGAAAGATCTTGACCGATTGGATTTATCCTAGTTCATACGATATCAATGTAGCCCCAGAAAAACGTTTTAAGTTTGCAACCGATATACATTCAAGAGTTTTTGAAGAAGACTTTCTTGAGGTGATATATATAGTTTAGTTTTTATAGTTTTCATTCAATACAGTTTTTTGCTTCTCCTACACAATTATGCTTTTGTTAGTTACGCCTTTTTTGATTCTTTACATTAAATATTAGGTTGGGGAAAAATAAATCCATTAGGCCAGTCGTCGAAAATGTCGATAAAATCGGAAATATGATCGAAATTTTACCTACAAAATGTGAAATTTAAATACATACTGAAAAAACTTTTTGGTGCATGTAATCAAAGAATCAATGTTGTAATTCTTATTAGTACTTCTGCGTAATGCTATATGCGCTTTTAGTTTGGTTGTAACTCAACCCGTTTTCTCAAAATCAACTACCATGTCAAAGTAAGAAAATCTCAAATTTTACCTTCAAAATGTGAAATTTACATACATACTGGAAGTGGATTATTTATAATGAGTTGCTTCCATATGGCCAAACGCTATATTCTGATCTGTACTGTCAACAACTGGACCGCTTGAAGATTGCAATTGACCAAAAACGGCAAGAATTGGCCAACAGGAGAGGTGTGGTGTTCCACCAGGACAACGCTAGCACACACATCTCCAGTGACTCGCCAGAAACATCGTGAGCTTGGGAAATTTTAATGCATCCGCATTCAGTTCAGACCAAGCGATTATCATCTTTTTCTTGCATTGCACAATTTCTTTAATGATTGGTATCTAGGGAGGATTGTGCAAACCGACTACGACGTTTTTTTGCAAATAGAGAGCAGGACATTGCAAAACATGTTAAAGTACTATAGTTAATAAAAAAATAATGTATTTCTTTTTCCCCAACCTAATATATCATGAGGGAAATGCCTTTTTTATTCTTCTCTGCTTACTCAATTGATTTTTTTTTTTTTTGAACTAGTTATTTTGCCTCTACTGTACAATGGTGATAGATCTGAACGTCAATAGCATTTATTTCCGGAAGGGGAATTCAAATCCCTAAATTCATGAACCGGTTTTTACGGTTTTTATTCAAATTATATGTATACCTGTTCTGGACCTTGTCAAAGTAAATTCTTATATTGTCTGCAAATTTAAATTATTATCAAATTTTTATTCGATCCATTGAAAAAATAAATTCAATTCATGCTTCTTGTAAATATTAAAAAAGTACAATTTAATAAAAAAAGTTACAAAATTTATTAATCATTGTTAACAAAGATATTACATTGTATCATTAAATAAAAAAAAACATTTAAGGATCGAATTTATAGGATATCAAATACAAAAAAACAGGCATTTCTAGTAACGATAACGCTTGTTTCGGCTGTTGAAACGGAATACCAAGTAAATGGAAAAGATAAACAAAACGGCCTGAAATGATATGAACAGATTCAATAAATTGTCCAAACATACGTTTCACATCAATCTCTACTTACGGTGACAGCAATTACACCCCATTCGCTGGATGTTTGATATTTTGCTAAGCTGAATATTTTATTCTCACTGGCTGTAACACAACCGACATTATAGAATGCATGTGCCGAAGTGGAAGCATCATCGGAATAACAACTGGCTGGCAAAACAAAGCGACCATTTCTTTGATAATCGGTTGGGCCATCAAGTCCACAACATTTGAGCTAGAAGAAAAAAATGTGTTTTTAAATCCATTTGATGTTTTGTTTACCAAAAAGTTATGTATTTTACCGATTTCTGGGTAGAATCCATGGCACCGGGGGTCTTCAGTTCCTCATCCCATACGGCTTTAATGGTGCTGCGAATGATCTTCTTGATTTCATCTGTGGAAGCTGGTTTAATTTTATTGTAAATTTGACCAATCAAAGAGGACAATATAAAGAGGGCATACTGCAGAAAATAGATTTTAGATTTTTTTTATAAATTCAATATTCGTTAAAAAACAAAAAATTAACTTACAGTGGCCGTCATACAGACATGTTCATGGCAAATACCGCAACAACCCAAAATGGCAGCGATCAAATTAATGGCACCCATGGCAATGATTATGTACAATTGTACAATGTTTGCCGTTTGTAACAAGGTAACACCGAAAACGATCAGAACAATTCCAGATATCTGAAAATATGAAGACAAATGAACAAAATGTTTTGAAATATTTTTTTTCGAGAAGGTTAAGTAATTTTTGCATTTAACTTTTATTTTAATAATCTCATAAAAGCTACTGTAAAGAAGGCTCAAAGGCTCCTCCCACTCACTACACATCATGATATCCTACCGATCAGCACCTTCGAGAGAGAGTAACAAACTAGATATAAAGTATCAGTCGATGTTGCGACAAATATATACCCCAAGCTTATGACACATATGTAGTATACCTTTATTCTGGCATTTGTATGATATTTTGGTCAATTTTTTTCATGACAGGAAAATCGTGTTTGACAGATGTCCAGTTCTATAATTCTGAAACCACGATATGGAGAACTCTGTATATCAGAAATAAATTCTATGTCGATTTGGCCGTCTTCGTTTAAATCAAGATAGAAATCGCAAATTTTTAAAATATAGTTTTGGCATTTTTACACAATGGGATATATCGGCTATACTCCTCATATAACCATACTTCTTTATTGTCGATAATTTGAAGGTTTTGTGAATTGGTCGGAAATGGTTGAAAATCTGGTATGTTTATAAGAATGTTTTATGATTAAGGTCTATGTTTCGACATAGCCCCATATAAAGGTTCCGCCCATTTCCAACAGAAGTGGCATAAATTTGGCTTTCAGAATTCTCGTATAGTCAATATGTTGAACGTTTTGGGTGTATTTTCAATGTAAGTGGCTTATCGGTTTATTAGAATGTAAAACAAAATAATCTTTACAAAAGAATTTTAATATAAGTCCATGTTTTTACAAAGCCTCCATTTAAAGTTACCGCCCCATTTTGGGTATTGATCTATTAATGGAATATTTTGCACTCAATTGAAGTCTGTACAAGCTAACCAAGCTCAGGTTTTGTTGGAGATCATTATCTCAAATTTCAACCGGAAAAATTGTTAAATAAAAAAATAAAAAATATTTGCAGCCGGAATAATAGCATAGAAAACAATATCGCCTGAAATGTTTTTATGTGCGAGTGTCCTCCAAGATAAAGTTCACGCAACAAACGTCGTGTTTAATATTTTTTCCCTACTCTTTTTGCATTTCCGACTTAAAAAGTTTTCTGAATATTTAAAATTATGCTTTTTATTCTGAATTCTTAAATATTCTGAATTCTTAAAAGCATAAAAAATATCATTTAAAACAAGTACATTCTCAAAATATCTAAAAGTGGGGCTATTGTTATATGGGGCTATAATAAAACGGAGATCAATATTGATATTTTTTGATAGTAAGATTTGACAGCCAATGGAAATATAAAATTGAAACCGTGTTCAAAATTCAGTTGAAAACCGTGTTCAAAATTCTCAAAAAACCGACTTGGGTCAATATTAATAATTTTTAGTGCGGAGATGTGGTGACTGTTGTCCTCTAATCAGTGAAGGTGGTGCAAGTATCGTGAAATATTACCCATGCTCAGAACATTGGTCCGTTGAATGTTGCGGTTCAGTGGTTTAATCACATTTTTGTAAAACACAATATTCAAATACTATCGCTTATAATATACATCAGGAAATTATTGAAAATTACAACCAAATTTATTAATTGGTCATTTTTAAGTATTCTATGTTTGATAAGAAAAATGAAAAGAATTTGGGTGTGTTCAAATTTGAAATTCCTGCTACTCAACTGGCTGAACAAAATTAAATAAACAAAAACATAAGCCAAATTTGTTATGTGCTTGTTTATTTATTTATATAAAAATTAATATTGAATCGAAAGAAAAAAATAAATTACTTCAGCAGAATTGAAATTTTATTATTGGTTTATAAACAAAATTTCAGATTTTCGATAAATCTTGATATTGTTGATGACGATGATTATGTATTTAACACTTTCACCAATACCACCATCAATTTGCCACTTTTTAAAATTATATTTAAATACATTATAACATTTGTATACGATATGTATGTATGAATATCATATGTTACCATTTGAGGATGAAGATCTCATTGTTTGTGTGTTTGTTCTCATTGTTTTTATGAATTTCATTTCACTCACCGTGACTAACAAACGAATCCTAAATTTGCTGCTTCAGACAAAAGTTCAAGAGCGTTGTAGACAACAGCAGCGACGAAAGCAAAAATCGGCACAAACGGCCATGAACCGACCTAAAAATTTATTTTTTTGAAAAGAAACAAGTGGTTTGTTTGAATGCCTTTGACTTGAAATAATCAGTTAGAAATTCATGCAGGTTCTGCACAATCCTTATTCAATTTTATATACAGTGAATTTCTGTATGCATACCATTATATACTTTCTTTCGAAGCATAATTATAATAATGTCTTTAGTCCTGTGCATTTTCCAAATATCTTTATTGTTATTATTACTGATGACCTAATCAAATATTTTCGGGATCTATTTTTCATATTGATATTTAAATATATAGCATTAAATGATCAGATAAAGTAATAACAATCTCCTTGTTCATATGTTCAAATTTCGAATGAAAATCTCAAGAACTCGTAAAGATATAGCCGATTTATTGTGTCAGCATCAAGTGACGGCTGAAGGGCTTCTCAAACTTAAAACGCGTTTTTCTCTAAAATTTTTTTTGCGAATGGCGGGCACGATAACTCAAAAACTAATAACCCAATCGATTTCAAATTTTTACACGTTTCTCTGTGAGTGTATAGTTATCGTATGAACTAGGATAAAGCCAATCGGTGAAGATCTTCCTTATTTTTTAACTTGGGTTTTGGTAAAAAATCGGCGATTTTCCAAAAATATTTTTTCAAAGGTCCACCATTTTGTTAATTTTGGAGCGATGTCAATAATCCTAGTTCATACGAGAGCCAGACATGTATTCTTTCTAACACCGTTGGAATTTTTGGATTCCGATGTTCCAGTGAGGAGTTATCATGCCCGCCATCAAAAATAAGGACTTTTCTTTAATTACAAAAAACAACAACAAAACAATAACAAAAATTTTTTGTAAATTATTTTTCTTCTATTTTAAATCTTCAATTATATATGTGCAAAGTTACAAACCTTAACAAGCATTGGTTTTGATTTACCAGCCCATTGAAAGTCTTGAAAAATTAAAATCGCGAATGGGTGGGGTTCCCTTAAATGAATTTTTGAATTTTTGTTTAACATTATAATATAGAACCAGTTCAACAAACCACATTTTGATGATATCTTTTTTAACAGTGCAGGAATAAATGTATATTCAAATATTTATATAAAAAATTAATAAAACAAAAAATTCAATTTGTTTTCTTTGATTTGACATTGTGATGCAAATTTGTCAGCTAGAAAATCACGTGAATATATGACTGAACAGAATACCATTATCATCTTCATATAATAGATAAATATAATAGGAAAAATATGACGAATCAAAGTTGGACCAAGTCGACTTTATTACACCCTACATATATGTAAGTTACTCATAAAAATCTAAACCCGTTCTCACAAATTTCAAAAAACTTCATTCTTGAGCGGGACGGTATGCATGCATTAATCAAATCTGAATGGGATTTTAATCAAATCTGAATGTGATTTCCATCAAATCTGAATGTGATTTTGAAACAGGTCAAATTTGAAGATGAGCTGTAATTTAGTCATAGTGGTATAGTTGGTATAGTTTTGGGTATAGCTTACAATGATTTTCAACCGAATAGGTTACTCTTATGGACCCGGGTCAATTTACCCTCCACCATAGATTGGATACTGTATTCAATTGGGCATTCCGTTTGTAACACTTCGATCAAATTACAATAGTTTCCATATTTCGTTTCATTCCATTTTAAGGGGACCTCCCTTATTCTCGGTTTCAAATGATTTGAATTTTGAATGTCCCAAGGATGTCCCTTTAAAATTTTAAGTGAAAATCTCCACAACACTTGAAGATATAGCCGATTTATTGTATAAGCAAGAAGCGACGGCGGAAGTGATTCTAAAACTTTAAACGCGTTTTTCTAGAAAGAGTTTTTTAACAATTGCGGGCACGATAACTCAAAAACTAAAAGCCCATTCCGTACATTATTCTGTACGTATTTAGCTTTTCGCCTATCTTATAGTTGGAGTTTATAAGGATAGTTTCTTTAATTTTTACCGGCAATAACACAAAAAAAAATGTTTTTAGGGATTTGGAAATCTAAATTCCGTCTTCCACAAAGAATGAATTTGAATTCTCGTTTCAAAAAAATGGTTTCAATAGAACGATACCGAAATTGTTTATTTGTGTATTCACATTTCCCAATATTTTATAATAGAAAGAATAAATAAAAAATTTCCCAAAATTTGTATTTGTATAATGCATTCAGTTCAATAATTATGAAATGTTGAAGATGTCTGCTGTTCTATATGACATAACAATTGTCAACAAGTTTGTAATTAATTATAGGATACGTGACAAACATTAAAAACAATTTAATCATTACAGACCATTACAATAAATGATTATATTAATAGCGCATATACGAATTTACAAAATTAATTGTATTGATGGTTATTTGAATTCGAAGCATGTAAATCGAATGTAATAATTTTGAGTATATGTACTGCACGCGTACTTTTCAAGTTCATTTCATTGAAAATTAAAGGCAATCACACATCGAAGCGATATATCAAGGATAAGTTCAAGATTACATTTTTTGTGATATCATAATAATTGCAAATTGCAAATTGGATTTATCACATTTTTGTAATAAAGGTTTTAATGTAGTTCCAGCTTTCGCAACAATGTTACAAGCGGGTTATGTATATTCGTTGTTTCGTATGGCAAAATCTCTTCTGGTACATTATTTCCAACATTGATCCACTAAAGATGACCCCATAAAACGGTGCTACATATCGAAGTCGATGTAATTCGGAATATCGAGGTTGATAACCATGTTCAAGTTATGACATAGCCCCATATAAGGCTACAGCCTGATTCTAACTAGTTTGATTCATATTTTATATTCGGATTCGATTTCCACGTCATTGTTAGCATTATTCACCAGTTACGACAGTCTGGATCAACATTGTCACACATAATCTAATTCAAATGTAATCAAAAATAATTTAAAAAGTCCGAATTCATCGACAAAGAATAAAACCAGGGAAGTTCGAATAAATTTACAAGCTCATTTCATTTACTCATAATCACCAAGCCGCAGAGCTATTTTTATTTCACAGTAAATTCAATTACTGATGGTAAAAATATATCATTACACCATGAAAGAGTTTGTTCTCCATATAATTGTAAAAAACCCAAACCGCTATAAATAATAAATATAGTCCATTACAAAGCGTATAATTTAAGTTTTAAATCGTTTAATGGTTAGTTTCCCTCCGTTTACTCGTACATAGATAAGGAGGTGTTAAGGCTGCCAGCTATTTACCTAATTTTGATTATATAAAAAACCCTTAAAATATTTTCAATATACAGCTCAAAATACTAAAATGTCAAACTATAATTTGCAAAAACGTCTCTACACACAAGCTAAATTACATAAATTTTATTGAAAATATGGCTAAAACCTTCAAAATATCGAAAATCGGTGCATACACATTTTCGAACTTTGAGGGCTACTATATATTACTGGTCTAATAACGCAACCTAAATTACATAAATTTTATTGAAAATATGGCTAAAACCTTCAAAATATCGAAAATCGGTGCATACACATTTTCGAACTTTGAGGGCTACTAAATATTACTGGTCTAATAACGCAAGCTAAATTACATAAATTTTATTGAAAATATGGCTAAAACCTTCAAAATATCGAAAATCGGTGCATACACATTTTCGAACTTTGAGGGCTACTATATATTACTGGTCTAATAACGCAAGCTAAATTACATAAATTTTATTGAAAATATGGCTAAAACCTTCAAAATATCGAAAATCGGTGCATACACATTTTCGAACTTTGAGGGCTACTATATATTACTGGTCTAATAACGCAAATATCTATCATTAATAAAGGTTTTATTGTTTTTGAATGTATGCTCTGGTATGATTTCTATAAGGGTTATCCATTTCGTTGTTTCAAATATATGGGGCTGGAATTCGATATCTATCAAATTAAGTTATTAATCCATACAACGCCACAGATTTGTCCTTCAAAATCGTAAATTTAAAATTGAACCCTAAATATTTTATTAAAAAAAGCTATATTAGAATACAATTTAATTTTAGCATGAAGCTAGGATACAAAAAAAAAACAATTGAAAAAGCGTTAAATTCGGCCCGGCCGATACCCTTCAACATAGGTATACTGACAGATACTTGAAATGAAAATATAGGGAACATACCAAAAAGTGAACGTATGCCGATAATTCTACAAACCGGTTTATCTAAACCATTATGTACTCCAAATACAAATTTCAGAAATTTTTAATGAAAACCCCAAAGCGTGGACTCAAATTACTGCAATTTCAATTACAAAGTTACATAGTGTAGGAATTAGCGAATGTTTGGGGGTTATAACTTTATGAGGGTTATGCCTATTTAATGATCGACATATTTCAATTTTGAACCCAATATTTTTGTTTTGTGTCTCAATTCTTTCCTTCAGGATGTATAATATATGGGAGAGAAGTCTAAATGCTGGTCAATATATTTCATTTACGTCAGGTTCGAGTTTTTTCATCACGATTTCCTTAGAAAGCGGCATGATTACAACCGATGGCTAAACCGTCTTAGAATTCCATAATTTTTACCCTACAAACTGAATACTTCGAGTAATGAATGGGGGTACCGTTATATAGGGGCTACCAGAAAAAGTGGACCGATATTTATAAGATTTAGTGGAGACAAAAAGAACCAAACGTACAAATTTCAGCGAAATTTCGGTGAGTTACAAACGGCATGACAAAATTAATATACCCTCCATACTATGGTGGAGGGTATAAAAATAAAATCATTAATTGAAATTCCCAAAGGAAAACCAAGGTGGTTGCTGACTTGTACATGAATCGCCCTGATGGTCCTATGTCGTCTAGGGAAAAATTTGCAGAGGGGTTGGGGAACATCTAAGAGATCCCTTTAACAAATAATCTAATAAGATCCCTTTAACAAATAATTAGAAAAGTTTGACCCATTCGGAAGATATAACGAAATGACTATAATTATATATATATATAAATTATTAGTAAAAACACCCGAAAAATGAAAAATTACGGATAATTTTATAGCAGTTTTAATCAAGAAAAGATAAAAATGTATCCGGTTATTGATTGTAGGGTTGAAAGGATAGTGGAGCCAAATGAGTTAAACCATTTGTTTTCCTTTCACTTGGCAGTCTGACATTTACGAAAATATACCGCTTAACTACCCCATTATCAAAAACTACTACAAACTGGTGATTCTGCCACAGCAACATGGCAGAAAATCATGGTTAACATACTCGTTAAACACAGTTAACATAATCGTTACACATAAAACATAATTTAAAGATACTGGAACGGTTACAATATTTAATTTGAGATTTTCAAAATCCTCAAATAATTACATCCAGAAAAAGTTACTGTTTGGTGCGTTGTTTGATCCGAAGGTGTGAATGGACCTTACTTCTTCGAAAACGACGATGCAACTACTGTCACCGTCAATTCGTAGCGTTTTTGTAATATGATAAACGACTTAATTTGCCTACTATTTAAAGACTACAATTTGGGGAATATGTGGTTTCAACAAGACGGTGTCATATACCACACAACTCGAGCGAATATGGCTTTGTTGCAAGAGACTTCATGGCTGCGTAATTTCCCATCGTAGCGTTATCAACTGGTCGCCAAAATCATACAGTTTGACACTATTCGACCTTTTTATGGGCATACGCGAAATATGCAAATAAACCTGCAACTCTTCAGCACTTAAAGATAATCATTCTCAAGTTATGGCGGTTATGCCGCCAAATCTGAGTGAAAAAGTTGTCGAAAATTGCCTCAAAATAATCAATGCTTGCAACAGTTCGCATGGAGGTTAAATTATGTTGTGTTTCACACATAATGTCAACGTTCAAACTTTGTAATAAAAAATATATATCATGAAAAGATTATGTTTATTTACGTTTACATTTGAGGCCGCGAAATGGATAACCCTGTACTTCCTCATACTATCACATCAATTGTCGAAGCACTTTTTCCACATTGGGTGTCATGTCAGCTTGCATTTTTCACGTGACAATTGAATTCATATCAGTCGTATAGGATGTTGTCTCATCGTCGTGATATGTTCACGTGTTAATAAAATTTTTATTTTGCACTAGATTCCCTGAAAAGGTCACAACACATGGTCGTAGGTCAAACCCCACTGATCATGCTTTGGCTACAAAATGTCAAACATTCCAGTAGAAATGTCAAATGAAGTCAGGCAACACTTGGTGATATCTAGGCCTCAAGATAGATCTAGCGACCAGGCATGTTTATATATTCGCCATACTGCTCACATATACTACTAGGTAAATTCGAATTATATGTGAACATTTAATAGACGATAGAATATTTCCCTTATCATATTTAAAACCTAGTATTTTGTTTACATTTCGAACATAACACCATATGTAATAATTTGGATATTTATGGGATCATGCTTATAAATATGTATAAAATAAATATACATATGTATGTACATATGTGTTAAACATCCATAGCAAAATACAACATCCAAATTGTTTTGTTCCCTGATGATTAATATTTAAATAAAAAAACAAGAAATACTTTCAAACGTACATACAGACAGACAGACAAACATACATATTATTTATTTGTATTTCTAATAAAACGAAAAGATTCTCAATATGGCCTAAAGATGATATCATCAGCATCACCTAGTGGTTGAGGTAATTTTTGTTAGCAAAATTCGTAAACGTATTTGCACATCTAATGCCAATCATAGCTTTATTTGTCCTAAATAGTATTCTTATATAATTGTATTGATTGTGAGATTTAATAAAAACACAGTTTAATACTTACACCATAAATAACATTGAAGATATTTAAAATGCACTTCATGCAATCCGATGTACAACCCATTTTGACTAAATTTTGAAGAAGAAAAAAAAAACAAAAACAAAAGTGAAATTTAATTTAATATTTCGATACTTTTTGATTGATATAAAACTGGTTTCAATGATTGCGGAATTTTGATTGTTTTAGTTTTTTATTAAATCACAATTTTTTCACTTTTTTCTTGTGATTTTTTTAAACACAAATGCCGAGACAAAATCAAGTCGTTTCGTATAGTATTTGTTTTAAAATATCCAATGTATATATGTTTTTGTTTTGTTTATATACCAAAATGTTTTTATTTGTTTTTGCACGGATTCGTTGTTTTATGCTGTCACCGTTGGAAATCAAACGCGTTGTTTTCAAAATTGTTTTTTCTTATTTGAATCGATTCAAACAAACGAATAAAACGCCAAAATGTTGCGGTTGAGTGGGAGCAGACACGTCTACTTTCGACGATCGTTTTGTATATTCTGAAGTTGTCTGAATATCGTTGTTTTTGATTTTGGAATTCTCCTTACCATCGGTGGCAGCGGACAGTTGTGGTCGACAACGCTGTTGAATTCTGTTAGCCCGTCAGCAAATAATGTTTGTTAACAGAGATACAATGTAAACCAGTAAGGAAAGTAGTAAAGTCGGACGGGGCCGACTATATGATACCCTTCACCACTATGGGTATATTAAACAGGACTATTAACATGAAATTGGATGAAATAAGATATGTGATATTTATCTAAATATGAATATACCTAGATCTATCCATAAAGTATGTAAATCGACTTCAAACAAATATAAATAGGTCATCCGTTGGGCTATGTCTGTACTTCTAGAAAACGCAACTACGTAATTTTATGCTCAATTTTGTACGTTGTGCAAACTTTGATGTCAATCTGACTAACATGAGGAGTTTGATGCCCAATTTACGGGCGAAAATATATATGGAAGCTCTATCCAAATATTAAGCGATTTCAAACAAACTTGTCACAGGTTAGATTATACTAATTTCAGAACGTTTTGTTCCTATCAGCCTATTGGATCCTTGGTGCGTCAATTACTTATAATCAATCTATAATAAAAGGGAGCTATATCTAAATCTGGACCGATTTTCAGTACGTTATGCCAAATTTCGTGCAAATCGAAAGATATATAGAGACTTTGGTGAACCATTTACATGAAATCGGACGAAACTATATATGGGAGCTATATAGAAATCTGGACCGGTTTTCTCGAAACTTGGCAGACATCATTCTAGACTCAATTCAGTACGTTATGCCAAATTTCGTGCAAATCGAAGGATATATAGCGACTTTGATGTACCATTTACATGAAATCGGACGAAACTATATATGGGAGCTATATAGAAATCTGGACCGGTTTTCTCGAAACTTGGCAGACATCATTCTAGACTCAATTCAGTACGTTATGCCAAATTTCGTTCAAATAGAAGGATATTTAGCGACTTTATTGCACCATTGACATTAACTTGGACGAAACTATAAATGGGAGCTATATCTAAATCTGGACCGATTTTCACGAAAAAAGCCAGACATCACTCTAGGCTCAATTCAGTACGTTATGCCAAATTTCGTGCAAATCGAAAAATATATAGCGACTTTGGTGCATCATTTACATGAAATCGGACGAAACTATATATGGAAGCTATATCGAAATCTGGACCGATTTTCTCGAAACTTGGCAGACATCATTCTAGACTCAATTCAGTACGTTATGCCAAATTTCGTGCAAATCGAAGGATATATAGCGACTTTGATGTACCATTTACATGAAATCGGACGAAACTATATATGGGAGCTATATCTAAATCTGAACTGATTTTCAAGAAATTTTACACACATCATTCTAGACCCAGTTTAGTACGCTGTGCCGAATTCCGGCAAATGGAAGGATATTTAGGGAATTTGGTATACCATTTACATTAAATCGGGCGAACATATATATGGGAGCTATATCTAAATCTGAACCGATTTTCAGGAGACTTAACACACATCATTCTAGACTTCATTCAGTGCACTATGCCAAATTTCGTGCAAATCGAAAGATATGTAGGGACTTTAGTGCACCATTTACCTTAAATCGGACGAAAATATATATGGGAGCTATATCTAAATCTGAACCGATTTTCGAGAAACTTAACACACATCATTCTAGACCTAATTCAGTACGCTGTGCAAAATTTCGTTCAAATCGAAAGATATATAGGGACTTCGGTGCACCATTTACATTAAATCGGACGAAACTATATGTGGGAGCTATATCTAAATCTGAACCGATTTTCTTGAAACTCAGCACACATCATTATAGGCCTAATTCATTACGCTGTACCGAATTTCGTGCAAATCGAATCATATATAGGGACTTTGGTGCACCATTTACATGAAATCGGACGAAACTATATATGGGAGCTATATCTTAATCTGGACCGATTTTCACGAAACTTTGCAGACGTCATTCAAGGCTTAATTCCGTACGTTATGCCAAATTTCGTGCAAATCGAAAGATATATAGGGACTTTGGGGCACCATTTACATGAAATCGGACGAAATTATATATGGGAGCTATATCTAAATCTGGACCGATTTTCTCGAAACTTGGCAGACATCACTCTAGGCTTAATTCAGTACGTTATGTCAAATTTCGTGCAAATCGAAGGATATATAGGGACTTTGGGGCACCATTTACATGAAATCGGACGAAACTATATATGGGAGCTATATCTAAATCTGGACCGATTTTCACGAAACTTGGCAGACATCATTCTAGACCTAAATGATTAGGCTGTACCAAATTTCGTGCAAATCGAAAGATATATAGGGACCGTTCACATTAAATCGGTTAAATATATATATGGGAGCTATATCTAAATCTGAACCGATTTTTCCCAATTTCAATAGGGTTCGTCCTTGGGCCGAATAAGTGACCTATGCCAAATTTCATCCAATTCGGATCATAAATGCGACCTGTACTTTGTTTACAATTTTACATGGACAGACGGACGGACGGACGGACGGACGGACGGACGGACGGACAGACGGACATGCATAAATCGACTCAGAAAGTGATTCTATGCATATTCTCAAAAGGAACCATGGGTCTAACTCGATTATTTTTGCCTGTTACAAACATATGCACAAAGACATAATACCCTGTACCACAGTGTGGTGAAGGGTATAAAAATTCATAATTTATGGTTCTGACTTAATAAAAAGCTCGCTTTATAAAAGCTTTTTGTATAAAATGTGAATCATTGATTAACGCTGAATTTACATGCGAATCTATGGTTATACCAGAATACCCGATTTTTATAATGCAAATCACTTTTTTAAATTTAAACCAGTGTCGTTTGTATGTATGTATGTATTAGGAATATGGAAGGACAAGCTGGATCAACGTGATTGTCTTTGGTACACTATTTAAATTATATTGGACAAAATAATATGTGGGACATATAAACTTGACTTGGCTGAAATAGCAATTTTAGCGACATAAATTATTTCCCGACAATGGATATGTGAAAAAAGGTGGGCCACGCCCCCGACATGTTGGGTACATTTTTCAACGAAATTGGCTGTAATTCTTATTTTGGATTCTCATTGCATAGAAAATCTCCCTACCAAAAATATTGGACTAGTTTCGAAATTTTTTGGGATTTTGCGCGCTTCTTTTAAAAGAATTTGCTGTCTTTACGTATTTTCATTCAATATTGTTCAACTTTATCAAGTAGTCCACATACAACGGTGACTCCGAAATTTCGGTATTAAGGGGAGTTTGGTCACTTTTTCATCAAGTTGGCTGTAATTTTATATTTTGGCTTCCCATTTATAGGAATGACTCCAGTCATAAGTAGGGGCGGATCGAAACGATCTAAAGTATTTTCCAAAAAAGTTTGTTAAACTAAACTGTGACCGTTTCGTCTAGCAGACACGCAGCTCAAAACTAGGATTGATTTTTCAACATCCATTGTACACAATACTTCATGTATCTATCTATTTTTTTTTTTTTTTTTTTGATCCTGAATTTTTAATTTTTAGCATGTCATAAAGCAAGGGTATTTTACAAACAATTACATATAAATAGTTTCTGCAACACTTTGTTAATTTTTAGTTTTACTCCACGAAAAACGATAAAACTATTCAAAATCTCGCAACAAATACAATAAAAAAAAACACCATCATATGTACGAATAATTTTATATTCTTATATAGTAAAAATCAGTAAGGAAAGTTCAAAAGACGGGCGGGGACGACTATGATACCCTTCACCATTTTGGGTACATACAAGATATACAAGAGAATCGGGTGAAATTAAATGTGCTACCTACATAGATGTTTGAACAAATAAAAACCATACACATAATATTCTGAAATCTATAAAAAAATTGAATGTCAATCGGGAAGACTTAAATTTTTGGACGGATTTCAACAAAATGTCAAACTGGACTGAATTCAGTACGCAGTGTAAAATTTTGTCTAGATCGGACCAATATTGGAAGTGTGGTGTACCATTTACATAAAATCGGGCGAAACTATATATGGGAGCTATAACTAAATCTGGACTGATTCCAACAAAACTTAGTTTACGTCAATCTAGACCTAATTCAGTACTCTGTTCAAAATTTTGTCGCAATCGGACCAATATTGATTGTATGGTGCTCCATTTACATAAAATCGGACGAAACTATATATGGGAGCTAAATATAAACCGACAACCGACACAAAAAAACATGGACGGACAGACAGACGACATGCATAAATCGATTCAGAAAATAATTCTATGCATATACCATGGATCTATCTCGATTCCTTGTGCCTGTTACAAACATATGCACAAAGGCATAATACCCACAGTGTGGTGAAGGGAATAAATACTCAACTCTAGTAATGGAATTCATATTTACCAAGATTTTTTTTCAAAAATATATTAAAAAACAGTTTCGTAATTTTTTTTCTAATAAAGCGTGCTAAAATCATTGTAACCATTAGCAGCTTTTTGTTGCATGTACAACAGTTTAGGCA